TAGATAGATAGATAGATAGATAGATAGATAGATAGATAGATAGATAGATAGATTGACTTCTTTATTGGCCAAGTGTGGTTGGGCACACAAGGAAGTTGTCTTGGTGCAAATGCTCTCAGTGTCCATAAAAGATACATTCATCAAGAGTCAAGAATCATCAGGTACAACACTTAGTGATAGTCATAGGATACAATAAGCAATCCAATCATACTAGGAAACAGTCAATATAACTTGTAAGGATATAAGCAACCAAGTTACAGTCATGCAGTCACAAGTGGGAGGGGATGGGTGATAAGGAGTGATGAAAAGATTAATAGTGATAGTAGTGCAGATTTTGTAAATAGTTGGACAGTGTTGAGGGAATTATTTGTTTAGCAGAGTGATGGCTTTTGGGAAAAAACTGTTCTTGTGTCTAGTTGTTCTGGTGTGCAGTGCTCTATAGCGTCATTTTGCGGGTAGGAGTTGAAACAGTTTATGTCCGGGATGTGAAGGGTGTGTAAATATTTTCACAGCCCTCTTTTTGACTCAGGGTGCAGGATACATATTAATCCTTATAATTTCATGGGTGTCAAGAGTCCAAGTCTTACGAAGTCTTATACCAACTTTAGACCCTTCTCTGAAGTTCTCCTCATAAGTCCCTCTTCCAAGAAACCCATGGCCTGTGAGGAGGGAGGGGGGTACAGGAAGAAGGTGTCCACGGGTGTGTACCAATTGCAGATACTCATGGAAAAGTAGGGCCAAGAGTGAAGTCTGCCACCATTTTTCCTCACGCCTGAGCCAGGTGGACCAACTGCATGGAAGAATCCAACTGTTTGCTGATGCCATTAAAACTGTGGCACAGAAAGCAACAAAATTGAATTTTAAAACATCCGTTGGAAGTTTTTCTCTCACGTTATGCCTGTTAGTGGAGTGACAGGACATTTCCCCAAAGAGCTATAAAGGGGCACTTTTGTGTGGCTGGCCACGATCTGAGCTTAGAAAGGCGCTGTTGTTCTTAGAACTTGGTTTCCAAAGCAAGCCCCGGACTCCTCGCATAATGGCTCGAGACAAGATTTAGCACCTACCATCTCTCCTCCATTTTTCAGTCCTCAAAACGTGATTAACATGCTGGCTTGCTCTGTGCCACTTTGCAAAGGGCCTTTTTTCATCCCAACTCTCCCCCTTCAGCTGGCAACTCCGCAGATAAATGTTCTCCATCCTTATGGGTCCCCCCAGCCCTTTTGTCGCCTCCCTCAGATTAAATCTTCCCTTAAAATGGACAGCTGGCCTCCAACATCTCAAGATGAAAATGCAGGATGCTGAAGCTCCCCCCAAAAAGCTTCATTAGAAAACAAAAACAAAAACAAAAAAACAACCTTTGGATCATTCAACAAAGGGCACAATGACCAAACTTTTGCCTGGCAAACTAATTAAAACGGAAGCCACCACGGTCCAGAGCCAGCATCTAGGGCCAAACCAGGAAAAGGGGGTCAGGAGAGAGAAAGCGCTGGGGGCTTAACTCCATTCAAAAACCAGCTTCCAACTGGGATTATGCTCAGTGCGCATTAATTGTCATTCCAACTACAACCGTCCTAGTTTCAGTGTGAAGTTTACTCTCCAGTGCACAACGACTGAAAAATCACCATTGGTTGCAGTATTTTTTTTTTCCACAGCAAGTAAGAGAACTTTTAAGAAGCATAAAAGCCCTCAAAAACTTGGCCTTGTGGGGTTTTTTTCAGCTTTCCATCATTCTCATTCATTCCCAAAACATGTAATCTCATTGTTGCTCGAGTACATAGCCGTGTTTTTATACTTCCCTAAGCACAAGAAATAATGAATCTAAAATCAACAGCAGAACGTAATAAAAATGGAATGGCAGCCCAGGGCAACAGTGGGAAGATTTAAAATATGAACAAGTTTCGATGCCAAGGACTAAGAGGTTCCTCTGAACACAGCGTAACTTCTTTGTGATGATCAGCCCTGTGGTTTCTATGCAAATCTCCTTCTGAAGGAGATCAACATCGCCAGTCCATAAGAATGAACATCAGTGCCCTGATAAGCTGGTTGAGGGATGACACCTTGAGTGAAATCTCTGAAGAATTGCACCCATTCACCCTTTCTATCAGAGGTCTCCAAACTTGGCAACTTTAAGACTTCTGGGAGTTGAAGTACACAAGTCTTAAAAGTTGCCAAGTTTGGAGACCCCTGCTATATATGCTGAAAAACTCATAGTAGGCCGGGCCCCTAAATCTGGACCATCAAAATGTTCTCCTGTTATTCCTTTCTAGAATCTGTCAGGTGCATTGCAGGAGAACCTCAATAGTGCAAAACGTGAAACTTCCAATTCAGAAGAACCACAACGAACAGTAGCCCTGAGTGCCACTTGGGAAATCCATCCCAAAGGTGCCATCACACACACACACCCCAAAAGGCAACTTGGACATTCTTGGGTTTTGGAGGGTACATTTCACTTCTCATCCAAGAAGCTTCCTCAGTTCTTTTTGGAAGAGGAGTAAAACATTTTGGAAGGAAAAAAAAAATGGAAGAAAATCCAGTTCCCTTTGGGGGAAAAAGCAGTTTGGGACAACCATGACCTGAATGATTGAGAATCTCCACAGACATAAAGAAAGGTATATTTACTTATTAAATTTATATATCTGTTTATCTCAAGAGAAATGTCTCAAAAACCCAAGGGAAAAATAAGTCTGGAGAACCCAGTTTGTTCAGGAGTGAGCACTCTTGATGACTACCTCTTGATCCAGGAAGGGGATGTTGGTAACTGAGTTTTGGTGCCTTCCTTTCTTCAGAGGGGCAACTGGGTCCTTCTCTAAGAGAGATGATAGCCAGTTCTGCTTCCAAGCCTTGCATTCTAGGCTTCCAGGACTCCCATGACAAGAACTGTTGGAGGCAGGTATGGAGGCCACCTACTTGGCATCCAAAGTCAGCCATGGATGCTCTACCTGTCAGCTGAGCCTGGACAAGTGATAGCATCACCCAAGACCAAAAAAACCAACCAAAAAGGCAAGGCTCTGGATCCGTAGCATCTTTCTCATTCTGAATCTTGAATTCCCTGTCCCTCTGCTTTTGTTTCTTGGTGCAAGGCCATCTCACGTACAGTTTTAAAGTTGAGTCCTTTGTATTCGTTACTCTGGACTCTATAATTAGATAATCCTAGCCAGTATATGTATGTGAATTTGTTTGCAAGTATACATTTTTGTGAAGTTTACCTCAATGGTAAGCAACACCTTCAATTATTTCTTAGACCACCAGCTCTTCTGAATCGGATCCTTTCTTTCTCTTACGGTTCTGCTCCGCTTTCAACAACCCCAATTTCCCAATTTCCTGCCTTTTAAGAAATGTCTTGTTTACATTTTGCCTTGAACGCCCAATGACAATCTCTGGGCAAACAACTACAAAGTCCAAAGCTTGGCGCTATCAAAAGCCATGATGAAGTGGGGAGATAAATCATTTCAAGTTGAGTTAGAATGCATACATTACAAGGTTTGAGCAGAGAAGAAAGGAAGGAAGAAAGGAAGGAAGGAAGGAAGGAAGGAAGGAA